AGAGAGAGAGAGAGAGAGAGAGAGAGAGAGAGAGAGAGAGAGAGAGCACGTGCTCCTTCTGGTACCCTATCAAGATAAGCCGACCATGGTTGGCCCGGCGGCTCCCCATGGCCCCCCATGGTCCCGGTGACGCCGGGCACTCCACTCGCCGTCCTCGCCATGGCTCCACGAGGCCGGGCGCCGCTGCTGCCGCTGCTCCTCGTCCTGGCCTACATCGCGGGGCCCTCCCGTCAGCAGGGTGAGTGACGACTGGGGTGCGACTTTAGGGAGAGAGTCCGCCGCTTGTCTCCTCAAGCCCCTCTTATAAAGTGCGTGGGTCCGCTTGTTTTCACTTTTTGTACTTTAAATCGCCAATGGCCGGAGACATTCACTAAAGCGTTTTGGTAGATTTTTGCCACATCTCACTTGCAATTCCTTGGCGTAAAATTGAAGTGTGCACATAAAGCGCGAATGAACAGGTCAGCTTCACATCGCAAGCTGCATTTAATTTTAAACACATTTCAATTTTGCCTACAGTTTTTCACTGAAAATTTGACGAACTCTCACGAACGTCGTTTTTGACGTTGCGAAGGGCTCAGGTGGGTGCGGTGGGACCCGTTTGCGTCATCGCATAGTTAGCGAGGCATTCACTTTTTTGTTCATGCGAGATTCAGTGACTAACTTGACGCAGCTGACGCATTTGATAGCCGGCAGATTAGACACCTGCAGGTGGCGCGGGGTACTGCCGGCGCCCAGAGCACCTGTGCGGCCCACCTGCCCAGCACCTGCCAGAGATTATATACCGATGACCGCGTTATCGTCCACACCGAGCCGCGACTTTGTTTTGCTTTCTGTAGTTTTTTCAACCTCTCCCTTTTTTTATTTACCCCCTACTGTGCTGCCTCAGAGTAAGTGTACATGCAAAGGAATGTGCCCAATCGCATAAAAGTGGTTAGAGCCAAAAGACCTGCCAAAAAGAGTACACACACAACCAATTATAATTCATGAGACAAAGTGCTTTCTTGTCCACCAGGAGTGCAGCTGCCGTGCACGACGGATGGCGACTGCGACACCACGGGCGCGAGCTGCGTGGCGGGGGCCTGCTCGTGCCCCCAGGGCCAGGTCATGACCAGCGACCTCACCACCTGCCTGGCCGGTAAGCAGCAGCCCCGCAAAGAATCCAGTGAAAAGGAAAGACCGCGAAAAACAAATAAAATGAAACGCAAATCGATGCAGCGCAGCGAGCTGCTTGAAGACCGCGTTAAACTAGAACGGTTTTTTTTACTGTCGTTGTTTCCTGGCCTGGCCACCCTGCAGGCGCGAGCGAGTGGGGCGCCTCCTGCACGGACGCGGTGCAGTGCGTGTCCAGGCTGCTGGTGGGCGGCTCCTGCGCCGCCAAGGAGGTCATCACCTCGACGAGCACCTCGCCGACGACGGCCGCGCCGCCGGCCGAGGAGCGGGTGTGCCGCTGCGCGCAGGGCTACCACTACCTCCGGGGCCAGTGCTGGAGGAGCAAGGGTATGCGTGCGACGCTGCTGCTGCCATAGCCTCACTTCCCCAAGCTTGACGTGTTCCTCTCTGTCCCGCCAGGCCTCGGCCAAGCTTGCACGCGCTCCGAGACCTGTTTCGCCAACCACGACAGCGAGTCCGTCGCCTGCGTCGGTGGCAAGTGCGCCTGCGCCACGGGCTTCTACCAGCGGGAGTACTCGTCGTGCCGTCGCATCAGCACCGGTGCGTAGGGGGATGGTCAGGAGCTTAAAGGGAACGTATGGAAACTCGCGGCAGGGAGCGTACGCGATCTTGTAGGGAACGTACCCGGTGATTCAGAGAAGGCGAAGGTGTGAGCGGGTTTGCCTACCCGCTCTGCCCGTTAGGCGCCATTGCCCCTTGGGTATTCATTCGGTAAGGGGCTTATAGGGAACAAACAGAAATTTATAGGGAACGCACGGGATGGAAAGCAAACGTCCGTCCTTCTTAGATCTATTTCGCCAAATAGCGGGGATAGGGGGTAGAGCGAGAGCACAGCTTCAGCGCCTGCGAGACTCAGGGTAGGCCAGCCCGCGGTACACGTATGCACTGTACGCGAGATGTTGCCTGCCTACCAGGCGCCATGAGACAATGTGCATCGTCCGAACTTCGCAGTTTCGCGATGACGACAAATAACGGGTGTACTTTTGGGATGACACTCCTTACACGGAACGTAACTGGAACCTTTAGTGGGTGGGTGCCGAATGTGAGTGCAGGCGACTTACCGCGATCATTGTCGGCAGCGTTCGGACAGGAGTGCGGGATCGGCGACGACTGCCAGTACGCCGACTCGGCCTGCGTGACCAGGAAGTGCGCATGCCGTGAGGGCTACTCGTACGACAAGGACGCCAAGAAGTGCGCCCCGTCGAAGGACGTGGTGCAGGGCGCGCCGGCCGGCGGGCAGCACAAGAAGTGGCGGTGGAGCAGGAAGGCCCAGCCGCAGGCCGCGAGCACGGCGTCGAACAACGTCTCGGCCACGGCGGACGTGACGGCCGCCTGCTCGGTGGACTCGGACTGCGGCGACAACGGCGACTGCGTGTCGGGGACGTGCGTGTGCCAGCGCGGCTACTACAAGTCCGGCACCAGGTGCTACCCCGGTGAGCTCTCCACTCTGGTCGTATACTCGGAATTTTTGAAACACAAAAAGAAAAAAAAATTAAAAAGGCATTTTACCCCCTTCTGTCTGACAGAGCTGCAGCAGGTGTGCTCCGGCGACGGCGTGTGCCGAATGAAGAACGCCGTCTGCAGGCAGACGGGAGCCTCGGATGCCTCCAAGATGTGCTCCTGCAGCGGCGGGTACATCCCCAGCGAGGACATGAGGCTGTGTCGCAAGAGTAAGGGTGGCTGGCTGCGTGTCTTGCTCCTCGTAGCTTTGTGGTAACAATGACGACAGCCTCGATGTTTGTTGACGGTTGACGAGACACTTTGCTTCCCCCCTTGTTCGCAGTGACGCCCGAGCTACTGACCTGGAGCTGCCTGCACGACGAGCAGTGCGGCTACTTCGGCCCGAGCGCCGTGTGCGTGGAGAAGCGCTGCCACTGCGGCGCGGGCACGCACTGGGCGGCGGACAAGCAGTACTGCTGGGTGTCCAAAGGTGAGTGTCGCCTGGCAAAGATTTTACCGGGTGATTCAGAGGAAACGGAGGTGCGGCGGGCGGCTGTGCCCAACTAAGGGGCACGCCGAGCAGGCAAACCCACCCGCACCCGGAACGAACACAGTTTTCAGTTTTGACGGAAACTTCTGTTCTCTTTTTTATAATTGGATTCCCTTCTCCTCAGCGGTGGGCGAGGCCTGCTCGGCGACCGAGGACTGCGCGGCCCTGTCGGCGGGCGGCGGGGCGGCGTGCACGGACGCGGTGTGCGCGTGCACGGCTGGCTACCACGCCTCCGCGGACCGCAGCGCCTGCCGCGCGGACGCGGACCACGTGGACGCGGCGTGCGTGGACGACCTCGACTGCACGGCCGACCACACCGTGTGCGCGAACAACAAGTGCGCCTGCAGCAAGGGCTTCATCCCGCTCGTCTCGGGCAAGGGCTGCGGTCCAGGTAAGCTGCACGCTCGCCGACATTGTTGGTGCTGCGCTTCCTCGACGCCGCGCTCACCTATCATCGCCGTCCCCCCCGTCTGCCCTCAGGCGTCGGCGGCCCTTGCGCGAAGGACGGGGACTGCCTCGCCAAGGACTCCGTCTGCGACACGAGCTCCAAGACCTGCTCCTGCGGCGACGGTATGGTGTCGTCCGCGGTCGGGGACGCCTGTCTTAAAGGTAACGGGGCAAGCACCAGAACTCAGACTGCCACCGCCAGGTCAGGCTCCTCTCGCTGACGGCTACCTGCTTCTCCTTCTCGCAGAGGCGGCGCACCTGAACGACACGTGCACCGAGGTCGCGCAGTGTCGCGCCCGCGCGGCCGACTGCGTCGAGGGGCGGTGCGTCTGCAGCAAGGACCTGTTCTACCGGGACGGCCAGTGCAGGGCGAAGCGCGGTGAGTGCTTCAAGTGGAACCAGCACGGACGACGGATAAAGAAGGACGACCGAGGGGGAAACGACCGTTAAACTTTGTGTCAGCCGGATTACGGATTACCCGGATTACCTCTGTTGTATCCCCCGGATTACGTTGCCTCTTCTTTAGGATTACCCTGGATTACCCCTGGAATACATCGAATTTCCTCGGATTACCTGCCGGATTACCTACCGGCTGTCAGCCGGATTACCTTAGTTTTTTCCCCCTCGAGGACGACCGACACAGACCGACGACCTAATCAGAAGTAACAAAAATAATAATGTAACCTGGCCTACTTCCTTGCTTTGCAGCTTTGGGCGCGAGCTGCCGCTTGACCAGCGAGTGCTACCTGGACGCGCAGCCGGAGCGCGCCGAGTGCAGGAACGGCGTGTGCAAGTGCGGCTTCGCTTACGAGATACCGGGCTACCCCGAGGCCTGCGCCGCGGCCGCAGGTACGGCCAGAGCAGGGGCGGCGGCCTCAACAGCCGACGGGGCCTCCTCAAAGGTCACCGCAACCGTAACAGTGGTCGTGATTAACATCCACACAACTAATTCGTGGGCTTCGTTTTCCAGGTCGCGCCGCCGGCGCTGCAGCAGCAGTGTCGCTCGCCGCCGGCCTCGTCCTGCTGGCCGCGTGGCGGTAGCGGCAGCCGCTGGCAGTGTGGCCGAGACCCAACCCTCTCTCCCTCCAACCCCAGGCCCACCGCCGACCGCCGCCACCGCCGCCGCTGATGTTGCTTCCCGATAGCAAGACACAGGCAATTAACTAGATGCAGGGTGCTGGCAGATTTATTCGCTGACCATGGGAGGGGGCGGGGCGGGCTGGCGTGCCACCCTGCCGTGAAGGGAGAGAGAGAGAGAGAGAGAGAGAGAGAGAGAGAGAGAGAGAGAGAG